CTCACCCGTACTGTTATGATCTCCAAAGACAATCGGATTAAAGACGTGATCAAATATTAGAAAAAAGCTTCTCATGTACGAGTGGGCGGCAGTGTCTGTTCCTGTGAATGATAGACTAACACTTTCAAGTACAATAAACCTTCGGAATAAACCTATAGAAATGCCACGTCGCGCTGCCCAGACATTGGTTAGTAACGACAGCAAGTAGCAGAGAGATTGGCAGACGCTTTCATGACCAGCAATCCAGATATAGTACATATTGTGTGTCTTGTAGCAGATAATTCACCATTTACCATGTTACGAAATCTCGAGACATAATTATGTATCTGTTGCTTGTGGCTATTTGGAGCTACAAAGGTATCTTTTTTAACATTCAAACCATCTCAGAGACGTACCCTACATCCAGAGGAAATGCTATTCAAACTGAATCATTCAATTAAATAGTAGAGTAATGCTAAAGACTCCTTGGTGCGATTATGTTGTGTATTGTATTCTCTTTATTCTATTTTAGAAACTCGTAAGCTTAATAAACACTCAACGTTCGTGTGCTACATCGATATAAAGAAAGCCTTCGATAAAGTCAACCGTAAATGTTTATGGTATAAGCTACAACAAGTTGGTGTCACGGGAAAATTATATGAAGCAGTGAGGTCCATGTACGAAAATACATCTAGTCGGGTTCGAATAAATGGTCAATTAACAGATTTGTTTCCGGTATCTGTCGGGGTTAGACAGGGATGCGTACTCTCGCCAACACTATTTTCAATATTCATCAACGATTTAGCTAATGATATTAATTCTTTAAAATGTGGTATTAACGTAGATGGATCAGTCTTGAGCATGTTACTCTATGCCGACGATATTGCACTTATAGCGCGCAATGAATCATGCCTTCAATCGATGCTGGACGTTTTAGAAGAATGGTGTAAGAAATGGCGGTTATCGGTAAACAGAGATAAAACTAAAGTCGTTCATTACAGATCAGCAACCCGTTTAAAATCTAATGTGTTGTTCAATATCGGAGAAAAAGTGATCGATTATTCCAAAGCATATAAATACCTTGGATTGTGGCTACATGAGAATCTTGACCTTAACGTTGCTGCCAAGGAGTTAGCTGAGTCGGCAAACAGAGCTATTATCAGCTACTACAGTGTTATTATCAGTAAATTTTAAACTATGGGCGGAATGGCATTTGAAGTTTATAATACTTTATATAGTAATTTAGTACAACCAATTTTGTCTTACGGGTCCGGAATCTGGGGACTAAGAGAGTTTAGATGTTTAAATAACGTCCAGCACCGTGCATGCCGATGAAGTCATTAGGTTATGTAAGAAGTTGTCGATCGTTGAACAAGACAGAAAAGTTCATAAAATCGCTATGTGGTCCAAAAGAAGATGTAAATCCTGGATAAATAACGTTCAATCAGTCTTTGCTAAGTTAGGCATCGATATCCCAAATATACTGCAGGTGTCAAATCAAGATTTTAAGACCATTAAAGAACATTTAATCCATATGGACTCTGTTACGTGGTTTAACGACCTGTGGAATGACCGTTATTAGCCAACGGTAGTAAGCTTCGTACCTATAGGAAATTTAAAGTTAATCCCTGCACAGAACCATACGATAAATTTAGAAGCAGACAACATAGAAGTAATCTTGCTAAATTGAGATGTGGCACTCTACCTCTTCAAATTGAATTAGGAAGATTTAGTCGACCACCAATTCCTCTAGAGGAAAGAACATGTAACTATTGCAATTATTAAAATATCGTAGAAGACGAATTTCAGTTCCTAATGAACTGCAGACTATACTCAGATATCCGTTGTAACTTACTGATGGATGCTCACACCACCGACAATAATTTTCTCAGTTTAGCCAAAAATAATCAGTTTGTTTACCTTATACAAAAAGAGGAGATACAACATTGCCTAGCTGCAACAGTGTCCCTGATGTTTCGACGACGTATGGATGTAAATATATCATAATAATATAATATCAATTTATTACTTGTACAAAGCACTGTTTCCAGCGGTCTGTATTCGAATATTACACTGCGGGTCGTCTTTAAGCATTCTATTGCAGGTTATATTTAGATATTATATCGTGGGTAATATCTGATATTGTAGTGCAGTTTGCTTGTGTGACCCAATACTTATATAATATGTGATTTAATTTATAATTCGTTTATATGTTAAATGTCTCTCATAACCCTGAATGGGTGGCCATGTTTTATCGTGTGGTGTTATGTATTATGTGACCATGGGTGAGGCGAAAATAAACAATTTTTCTTCTTCTTCTTCTTCTTCTTCTGTATTGTGGGAATAAACCGTCATCCAATCAGAAATATACGAAATAATGAGCTTTAGTCAATCTAGCTTTATCCACTGTACATACTTTTCTGGGATTTGTTTATCAAATATTAAGTTGTGTGTGCAAGACAGTTGTTGAATGTTCATCTTCCCGAGGCAAGGGAGTTAACTGCCTGTAAACGTCCGGGTTTTTTTTACAGTCAGTTAACTCAATTGCCTCGGGAAGGTGTTGAATGTTATGTTTAACAGAGGTTGTGCTGTCATCTGACGCGCCGCAATTTCCAGAATTGCATTCATCAGGCATACTTGTCATGGGTTGGAATCCGTGGTTCGTATGTACCCTGGTCAAATCTGACCCAATGGAGAAAACATACAGGGTAATAAAACGATAGTTAAAACTTCACAATTCGTTGTACAGAGTTAAGCTCCATGCACCTGACATGAAATGCTGTTTTTGGTTCCATATTAAGATCCTTTATTCCGCCAGTAGCATACTTGTGATCTTCACCAAAATGTTAAATTTGCAGCAAAACCAGATATTTGTATTAAAAAACTATGAACCTGATATTCTTAATAAAGAAAACACCTTGCTTCAATGTAATTTTCTTTTTCAAAGGTTTTCAAGAATTTACAGGAACAATTTATTTTTTGCGTTAAAACCCCAGCCCCCCAAACCAAATTTTGCTTAAGACCATTGAGAACTTTACACGATAGCAATATTTTCCATACCTAACATTCTTTTGCACATTCACATTAACAGTGTTCGGCTATACAGTGAAGTACATACGTTGAAGTATATTGTACGACCGCAATGAAAAATGTTGAACTATAATCTTCACTCATTGACCGGCACCACCATTCATGACGTCATATCACAGTTTAGTATGACCACCGACGTAATAAAGTTGGAAAAGGATTAACAGACTAAATCAACGTCCCGCTCCAAAATCATTATATATATATTCCCGTTTCCCGTTCCCAGCAAATAATAGAGCTGTCCTTAGCAGATATTTAAAGAACCCTGACTATGTGGTTGAAATATTGCCGATGTGACGTTAATTCTTAACTGACTCACTCACTAAAGAACCCTGAATATTTGTTACTTTCAACAATTCCCTGTAAAGATCCAGGCTAGAATCAGTCTTCTGCAACCCATGCTATTTATATGAGGCGACTAACGGGATCGGGTGGTGAGGCACAATGACTTGATTACTGCATGTCAACGTATGTCAACTGCATAGATTGATGCGCATGATGTCGATCATAGGACTGCAGTTTTTCTTTCCACCGACGGCTCCATCTGACGTTGAGCATAGCGGTGTGAAATATACACATTGGCATGGATGGCTTTACTCTTATATTAGATACCATCTCGAAGTCACTCAAAGTAACGATAAGACCATGACTGCGCAAGACTGGAAATTATTGATTTGGCTATGATATAAGGTCTATGCTCTGCTGTTTGTATATCAGCTACCCTTACTCTGCGTACGGGAAGATGGAAACCTGAAAATAAATCCTCATCAGTATTAGAGCAAACATACCGCAATGAAGCCACTTTAAGATGATCTACAATCTCAAAATGAACTATCCATTTGAAAATGCCAATTCTGATTTCCAAGGTATTAAAAGAAAGTTCATCCTGTTTGATGTCCCATTTATATGATCTGTAGTATCATGTCTGAGACCGAAGAGTGAGTGAGTGAATGAGCGAGTTGGGTTTAACATTATTGCAGTTATATCACGACATGTCAACTAAATGTAGGAGGAGGTGATGTGAGGTGAAATGGGGTTTAACGTCTCGTCCAAGATTATGGCACTTATATAGTGACGTGCATGCACGTGTTTGTGTGTGTGTGTGTGGCTGCTTGTACTAGTCCGGACTGATGCCGATTTATAGTGCTAGCACACTGAGATACCATGCCGAAGTTTAACATGAATACCCCACTCAGACACAGTATACTGACTCCGAGCCGACCAGTCCTTGTTTTAGCCCCTTAATGCCGAGCGCCAGACAGGGTAACAACAAGTACCATCTTTTAACGTCTTTTGGTATGACGCGGTCGGGGATCGAACCCCGGACCTTCCGCTCTCCGGGCGGACGCTCTACCACTAGACCACGGAGGCGGTCGTAACGCAAAGGAAACACTAGACAGCCGGACGCATAAACCAAGCGGTTAAGCCTATGCTCATCCCGAAAGCCCGAGTTCGAGTGCCACATGGGTACAATGTGTGAAGCCATTTTTGGTGTTCCCCATCGTGATGTTGCTAGAATATTGTGCTAAAAGCGGCGCAAAACTATAGTAACCTATTTAAAGGATACACACATATGTATGAGCAGGTACTCAGCTGTCATGCGCGTGGCACATGTTAAGGCATGGTACGTTCAACAAAATGCTGTATTGCGCTTAAGGAGAATCTGTACGCAAAGATGAGAGGCGGGTGTCAATGAATGAGAATTGTGAACAATCATCACGTACACATATCCGTCATGTACCTTCCCGAAGAAGAAATAGGCAGCGACAGAGAGAACATAGGCCTCCCAAATAATGTCTGATAATGGGAAATTCGTATCCTTGCGGCAACATACTGCTTCGATCCACCACAGTATATATATATATATATATTACACTGTCTAACCGAGGATGGGAAAGAACACCAATTCTGTTGAAGCAAATTACTGCCCCGAAATAGTTGCAGTTATCGTATTTTATTTCTCCCATAAATATTTTCTGTTGTTGAGTAATTCTGTCAGCTCCTTATTATATCGACTATAGAAATCTGTCAGCATTTGCCTTGTATCGAGCAGCATCTCTCCCACGTGTTGAGCATTTACGTTCCTGATATTATTAGGTTCCAGCTCCAATATAAGCGTCATCTCACTCTTCGTCAGATCACCTGTAACAATAGCATACATGTAACAGTGCATATACGACCTACCCCAGAGGTTCGTGGTTCATTTTGAGTCAACATATTTCGTTTTAAAGTAAAATACCACATTAAAGAAACGAATTGGTTCAGTGACATTTAAACTTCGAGGCTGAACCGTGTCTTTCTATTAATCGATACCTGACGACGTACGTGTTGTTTAAAACCGCTCAGCAGTACAAATAATAAAGTCTCGGCCTGACGATCCAGTGATTGTTATTATGAACAACGATCCACACCTCCGTGGTACGGCGACATGTCGCAATCAACCATGTCAACTTGCTTGCCTGATCTCACATCGTCTTCACAACTACGCATGGTAGAGGTAAGCAGGGAGATTTTATTACGCTTCATGTGGTTTGGTAAGCATAAGCAAATCTGGTATGATTTGTTTGTTGTTTAACGCCCAACTCGGCAAAATACCAGCTAAATGACGGTCGTCTGTAAATAATCGAGTCTAGACCAGATAATCCAGTAGTTGACATCTTGAGCATCGATCTATACAATTGGGATACGATAACATGCATCAACCACCGTGGTCAGCGTGCATGATCACCCGATCCCGTTAGTCGCCTCTTAAGGCAAGCATTGGTTGCTGAAGACCTATTCGAAGAGGGTGTATTCATTGTGTTTTACATCTCCCAAAGATTTGCACATTTATAAATATTTTTTCCCAACGTGATAAGTAGGAAACTTCATTATCTGAATAAAGATATTTTATAAATATCCACGTCCCCTTTTCTGATGTCACTCCAAACTGATCACATCAAAAGTAATTTCTAACAAGTTTACAAGACTTGAATTTAACTTTGTAACGCTAGAGCACCTCGTGTAAGAAACTAATGGTTTATGTCTTCAATACTTACGTAAATCTAAAAATCTAAAGAGAGATTTCATGTGGTTTTCGATATCCTGTATATAGTCTTCAAATTTGATGACGTGCACTTGATGACGTGGAAATACTCTCAACCAATCAGCAACGTGGACCGAGTAAATCCCAAGTCGGAGTCGTACCTTCAGCCAATGGAAATAAAGACTACAAATTAATGACGTTCTTCGGGCGATGAAAGTTTTTTTGTTGCTGTTCTACGGCTCTCTGATTGATAACACACACACCGTGAACGTTGAAAACGTCCCAGGAAAGTGACTGGAGCTTAGGATGGAGGTGATGTTTTATGGAACGTACATGTGGCAAATCGTAATGATTGTCATAATTTAATTCCATTTTGAAAAGTCAGAAGCAAGTTTAAAGAGAATGAGCTCAGTTAGTGGTTTGTGTATAAGACAGTTTAACACATAGCTTCCGGTGTGTTTGTTGATTGCTGTTTAACGTCGCTCTCAGCAATATTCCAGCTATAAGACGGTGATCTGTAAATAGTCAAATCTGACCAGTCAATCCAATGCTCGACATCATGCGCAACAGTCTACGCAGTCTACGCAGCGAATCTGACCTTAGCGTCATGTAATATATTTGGAACGATAACGATACATCATAACAATGTATGAAGGGGTTGCATTAGCCTTCAGAGTTCGACATCCACGTTGCACATGTAGGTACGCTTATAAACGCTTATCTAGTAGGCCAACCTGCCGCCATGTAGCGGAATAACTGCTGAAAACATTCATGTGTATACTCGGTCGAATTTGTCTAAAATCCACCAACTTTAGAAAAAATAGTAGTGAGTGAGTATGGTTTTACGCCGCTTTTAGCAATATTCCAGCAATATAACGGCGGGGGACACCAGAAATGGGCTTCACATATTGTACCCATGTCGGGAATCGAACCTGGGTCTTCGGCGTGACGAGCGAACTCTTTAACCACTAGGCTACCCGACCGCCCCTAGAAAAAATAGTAAATCCTGGCATGCGGAGTGGTTGGGTGGTTTGTTGTTTAACGCCGCACTCAGCAATATTCCAGCTATATGACGGCGGTCTGTAAATAATCGAGTCTGGACCAGACAATCCAGTGATTGATATCATGGGCATCAATCCACGCAATTAGGATCGATGACATGCATCAACCAGGTGAGCGAGCCGGACCACCCGATACCGTTAGTCGCCTTTTACGACAAGCATAGTCACCTTTTACGGCAAGCATGGGTTGCTGAAGACCTATTCTACCCAGGAATTTTCACGGGTCGGCATGCGGAGTGAGTAAGTGAGTAAGGTTTTACGTCGCTTATAGCAATATTCAAGCAATATCACGGCGGGGGACACCAGAAATGGGCATTACACAATGCACCCATGTCGAGAATCGAACCCAGATCTGCGTAACGACTTGGCATGCGGAAGGTGCATTTACACAAAAAACATTATGGTCGTCTAAAAAAACAGGACACAACGTTAACATTACTGGTCAGCATTAATGAACAGGTATTCCTATAATCTCATAAAGGAAACATCTGTTATGTTTTGCGTCCATTTTACTGTTAAAAATGCAAGATAAGAATTATGTGTTACTTTGTCCTCAAAATCAGTATGAGATTCACATTTCTGTACCTTTGAACTGTAGGCGTTTTCATGGCTTCCATTATATGTACATGCTCTGACTGAGTTGGTTAGGAGGCAAGTATTAAACTCCTGAATCTCCTGCTTCACTTCCTGGTGGAAGTTCTCCCTAGATATTTGATAATGAAGCCACCTGCTCTCGTACAGGTAGTCGGAGTACAGCCTGCAATGAGAGGACGAGTTGGTTTTATATAGTTTTTTGACGTAATCCAATACTACGGTCATGGCTCACACAGGCGTCGACGTGACGTTGAACACGTTAACCACTAAGCTACACCACTGCCCTCAATGCACAGACGAACAAGAGAAACTGTGTCAAATCAAATTTGAAATAATGTTCCCCCAAATCATGTAAAAACAATCGTAGAAATGTTACAGACACAGTAGCAGCTGAAACCTTCCTTTTGTTCACCGACTTCTCCGTAAAATGACCTTACGATATATATCAAAGGATCGTGATTAATAAAATAGACTGATCTCAATGTACGTTAATGCAAACATCCAGTGTCACATGGCACGTTTGTCGGCAGAAAGCAGAGAAAGGGTAACTGATATGATGAAGTTGGGAGCCAGATACGACACATTCACCAGACACTCGTGCAACATTTACCAGGCTGCTTTCATGATACGACACACAGTACATAATGAATCCAGAAATCAACAGTGCCATGTTACGTTTGTCGGCAGAAAGCAGAGAAAGGGTAATTGTTATGCTGAGGCTGGGAGCCAGATACGACACATTCTCAAAACACTCGTGCAACATTTACCAGGCTGCTTTCATGATACGACACACAGTACATAATGAATCCAGAAATCAACAGTGCCATGTTACGTTTGTCGGCAGAAAGCAGAGAAAGGGTAATTGTTATGCTGAGGCTGGGAGCCAGATACGACACATTCTCAAAACACTCGTGCAACATTTACCAGGCTGCTTTCATGATACCGACACACAGTACATAATGAATCCAGAAATCAACAGTGCCATGTTACGTTTGTCGGCAGAAAGCAGAAGAGAAAGGGTAATTGTTATGCTGAGGCTGGGAGCCAGATACGACACATTCACCAGACACTCGTGCAACATTTACCAGGCTGCTTTCATGATACGACACACAGTACATAATGAATCCAGAAATCAACAGTGCCATGTTACGTTTGTCGGCAGAAAGCAGAGAAAGGGTAATTGTTATGCTGAGGCTGGGAGCCAGATACGACACATTCACCAGACACTCGTGCAACATTTACCAGGCTGCTTTCATGATACCGACACACAGTACATAATGAATCCAGAAATCAACAGTGACATGTTACGTTTGTCGGCAGAAAGCAGAAGAGAAAGGGTAATTGTTATGCTGAGGCTGGGAGCCAGATACGACACATTCACCAGACACTCGTGCAACATTTACCAGGCTGCTTTCATGATACGACACACAGTACATAATGAATCCAGAAATCAACAGTGCCATGTTACGTTTGTCGGCAGAAAGCAGAGAAAGGGTAATTGTTATGCTGAGGCTGGGAGCCAGATACGACACATTCACCAGACACTCGTGCAACATTTACCAGGCTGCTTTCATGATACCGACACACAGTACATAATGAATCCAGAAATCAACAGTGACATGTTACGTTTGTCGGCAGAAAGCAGAGAAAGGGTAATTGTTATGCTGAGGCTGGGAGCCAGATACGACACATTCACCCAGACACTCGTGCAACATTTACCAGGCTGCTTTCATGATACCGACACACAGTACATAATGAATCCAGAAATCAACAGTGACATGTTACGTTTGTCGGCAGAAAGCAGAGAAAGGGTAATTGTTATGCTGAGGCTGGGAGCCAGATACGACACATTCACCCAGACACTCGTGCAACATTTACCAGGCTGCTTTCATGATACCGACACACAGTACATAATGAATCCAGAAATCAACAGTGCCATGTTACGTTTGTCGGCAGAAAGCAGAAGAGAAAGGGTAATTGTTATGCTGAGGCTGGGAGCCAGATACGACACATTCACCAGACACTCGTGCAACATTTACCAGGCTGCTTTCATGATACGACACACAGTACATAATGAATCCAGAAATCAACAGTGACATGTTACGTTTGTCGGCAGAAAGCAGAGAAAGGGTAATTGTTATGCTGAGGCTGGGAGCCAGATACGACACATTCACCAGACACTCGTGCAACATTTACCAGGCTGTCTTCGTGATACCGACACACAGGGCAGTCAGTGGACAGACCCAGGGCAATCAGACCATGTGTCCTCGCACCCATCGAAGATTATTTGCGTATTCGTCAGAAACCGTTAGGAACGCTTCTTGACTACGACGTCATCATCAACTTGGACATGACGAGCGATATTATACAGAAAAGCCCTCTGTCCCAGAGATTGAATTGCACTTGAACACAATCCATATGACACACATTACAATTCTAACTTAAGGAAATATACGGAACTGTGGAAAGTCAATATTTCAGTGGGGTCAAATCTGCAACCTTCGTATTTGTTGCCTACTGAGCCACAAGACAACTGAAGCGCTGGTAAACCGCAATGCTTTTCAGAATGTCTTGTTAAATACAGATCCAGAAAGAGATATTTTACGTCCGTTTCCCAATATTCTGGAAAGTTTTGTTTGTTTGTTTGTTGTTTAACGCCGCACTCAACAATATTCCAGCAACATGACGGCAGTCTGTAAATAATCTAGTCTGGACCAGACAATCCAGTGATTGACATCATGGGCATCGATCCACGCAATTGGATTTGATGACATGCATCAACCAAATCAGCGAGCCTGACCACCCGATCAAGTTAGCCGCCTCTTACGACAAGTGCCTTGAAAACTTAAAATTGTTGATATTGTTGCTTCAGACTTTTCTTTCGGCTTATAAGACAGATAAAACACTATGCCTCGGGTTTAGTTACAAATGTAAACACTCTCTAGACAGTTAATAAGGTGGATACAACACTTTTCACTCGATGTTAATTAAAATGTAAACACTGGGGGATGTTCCCCCTCCATCGTGTTTATAATTTGAACCAAAAACCTTGAGGTGTGTTTTATCCAATCTATGAAACTCTGGGACCATTCGCTGAAAAATATTGGTTTCGAGTCCGGTTCCATTTACATAATGCAAACAATAGCCGTCCAATCAAATTACACACATGAGAGAAATTTTGTGCTAAGTTGGCAAGAGATGCGAATGGGGCCAGAGTATTTATCACAAGTGAACGAGATATAATACTCTAATCTAATATCTAATCGTGGATGGGGAATGGGTATAGTGTTGCAGCCCCAAATACCAAATTACCTGTCGATTGGGTTCCTGAGACTGATGATGATGCTTGCTTTCGGATTAAGATGATGGACCATGTCAGCGTTTGTAACGCAGGGCTCACGGCATCCCTCGTTGCCAGGCAACAATGGCCAGAACGTATTGTCCCACATCATGTCCACAGAGCCGTCACCTTGTAAATGACATAAAATTGTTACGAGTTACATAAACGTTTTATTTTGATTTCAAATGATTGTACGCTACTATTTGTAGAATACAAAGTAAATATTTTCGTCTTCATGGCCTGGGAACTGCCTCCGTGGTCTCGTGGTAGAGCGTCCGCCCGGAGAGCGGAAGGTCCGGGGTTAGATCCGCTGGTACTTGTTATCTGGCGCTTGGCATTAAGGGGTTAAATCAAGGACTGGTTGGCTCGGAGTCGGTATACTGTGTCTGAGTGGTGTATTCATGTTAAACTGTTGCTTGGTAACTCAGTGGGCTAGCTGTGTGAAATCGGCATTAGTCCGGGCGAGTACAAACAGCAGCACACACACACACACGTGCATACACGTCGCGATATAAGTGCACTACTAGGTAATATGTGCAATAAGAGTCAAAAAGATTTTCCTTAGTTGTTTTTGTTGAAACCGCGCTCAGCAATATTCCAGCCAAATGACGGCGAGCTGTAACATAATCGAGTCTGAACCAGACAATCCAGTGACTGATATGGACAATGACTCACGTCACCAAGTCGGACCAACCGATCCTTTAAGTCACCCCTTAAGACTAGCTTTGGTTACTTGGGACCTAATATACACAGGGCATGGTCCATGTATACTCCTGAAAGGAATTTTGGGTGGTGTTATTAAATACCTTTGGAAAGCTAATGTGTTGTGTGGGGGCACGGGTGGCCCAGTCGTCTAGGTCGCCGCGATTCGCTGTGCAGAGTTGCGTCCCTTGGGCACGCCAGAAAACCATGATTTGGGTTCGAATCCCGCTTCGCCCCGATTATGTTTCTAGGTTTGACACCCGTGCTCGTGGGTTTTATCGAAGTGGTAAACGTCTGAGACCTGCATCACTTCGGGCTTTCCTCCCACATTAAGCTGACACGCCGTGATATAACTGTAATACTGTTAAAAGCGGCGTAAAACCCAACTCACTCACTCACTCACTAATGTGTTGTGTGATGTACCTGTGATGACGTGATGGTAGACCTGACCAGCTGTGTCATTCTTGAAAACCCGATCAATGGTATTGGCGCTTTGTTGCAGAAAGTCCAGATATGTATTTATCGAAGAACACTTTGGACCTATAATAGATAATGCAAGAAGACTTAGGGAACAACATTATCACTTATTCGTCAAATTTGGAAATGTCCTCCACATGTCTGCCATGAAACTTTGTTGAAAGCTTTACTGAGGCCTTGACTGTTGTAATATTGATCCACATTTTTTAGCAACAGTCGTATGACGCACTTTGAAATCTTCATGGAAAGCGTGCAGAAAGTTATAGATTGCAGCTGCACCTACTGGTGTTTTTTTTCTGAAGAGGACAGAATTGGCATAAAAACAAAGTAAAATCCAAGATTGCTAAGAAGTACATGAAGTATAGCATTATGGGAGTAAAGCCCTCCCATGAATTAAGGAACTAAATATAATGGTAATATCACTGCAAACACGGAAACGTCGTTTTTTCGTATATGAGCACTGGACTGATTAATTGGTGAGCGTCCAATCGGCTGTGTATTATTTTGTTACAATAGTATGAAAGTACATCTTACGAAATATGAGATGTTGCATAAAACGAATAGAACGGCAATGGACTATTTCATAATTGAGTCTTTTAGCTCCTTACGCTCATCATTGCCTTTGTTATTGCTTGTGTGTGTAATTATCTTTATCGTCTACGATCAGCATGTACATAGAGGTTATCACGCGAGTGTGTTTGGGGATGGTAAATATCCTGCATTAGGAATAAACATTGTATTTAGCGAGCCTTGGCGAGCTAAATACATAGTGTTTATTCCTAATACAGGATATTTACCATCCCCAAACACACAAGCGTGATAACCTCTTTATCATATAATGTCATTCTTTAATTCTGTGCTTCAAAATCGCTTTCCCTCTCTCACATACATAACCGAAACATTGCGAGTTTTTTCTGGAATGCGCGCATTAATATTTATTACGTCACAGGGTAAGTGATGTGTTAGTCGGACAGTGACAGTAGCCAATATAGTTCCAACTGAAATCTGTTTCTTATACAGTGGCGAAGCAACATATACGCAAAACAACAATTGTTTTTAATTGCCTTTCGCGGCAATCCATCTGTCTGTCTGCTAGAGTAACTGCCCTTTGTCAAAGGGAAGCTACTCTAACCCTAGTCTATGAGACGTCACGGCCACGGCCACGTTGACAGTCGGTCTGTCCTGTCATAACGTTAATAAGTGTAGTCAGATGTACACACAAAACGAAACAAGGTAACAATTCAAACATATTTCGGACAAATCCAACTATTTTAATTTGTGGAGAAGGTTTCAAGCCGCAGAGGTCTACAAGCACAGATATGGCTACTGATCCCGCTTGGCTAGGCCTAGTGCCCTCGCAAAATTGTTTCGAAATTTATATCTCTTAAGTTGCCCAAACTCATAAAATGCCTTAGCTACGTCACAGTTAGAGACTGATTTTCAGTATATTAGACTGTTCTTTTGATAATGATAGCAATTATCCCTGTAGTTTATCCATATTCCCGATGGTTAATTCTGACTCGATCGCCGAATGATGAGGGCGACGCCATGTTTGTTTATAAACAGTGAAAGTAGTCCCTACTTGACCTTTGATATTTGCATCTCTATCCGCATATGACCCCAACGGATATCGTTTTTATCCGTTGGCTTTATCCTGCTGAGAAACCTACCCATTATATGATAAAAAATGGTATCTCTATTAGCATCCAAATGTCCATAAACAGCTGTGATATGTTCATATGTTTATGAAAGTTCGGCACACTTCTTTAAGGATAAATGCTCAGCAAGTCCTCAATTTCAATGTCAATACCGATTCAGTGTATGTACTACAGCCCTAATGCCTTAAAGTAACATGAGTGAATTGTACCTAGTTGACACAAGTTCTTAATACTAACGTTTTCGAATTTTTTTGACCTTTTGCACAATGTTCTGAGCAAAGTTATGTACATAAAAATGTGCTGAAATTTATAAATACTCATTCCTATATGGGATGTAAATAGTTTTATGACGTTTGACTCGATGACGGTGTGTCAGGATGGGACGTATGGCAGGGCGTCGTGGTCGAATCCCGTACTGACGTAAACGATTCCTGACAGTGTTGGGATGGATACGGCGCAGTCCAGGAATTGTCTGGGACGTCGTTACTGCCGTTTGGAACCTGTGTCGGAGATGTGTAACTCGAATCAATCTGTCCTGTCTTGGCGTCGTTACTCGGGGACGTCCTGAACGTGGTTGGTCGGCAACGTCATTTGTGTTCTGATAACGCCTCACCAATGCCGATATCGTGTTACGATGGCATTGGAAATGTGTTGCCACCTGTTGTTGCCTCATTCCCGCTCGGATCATTCCAATGGCTTCATGACGCTGTGCAGCTGTCAATCTTGGCATGATTTGCTTGTGATATGCTTGTGTCTGCGCCTGAGAAGTTTTGAATTTTTGAATGACCACAGATCATGCTTTCCAAAGTGACAGCGAATTTTGAGTTGCACATGCTGTGTACAGCTGCACAGGATGCACGTGCAGTAACACATTGCACGTCCATAGGCCCCGATCAATGACGTCATATCACATGGCACGTGCACGAGCGTTTGAATGTCTCCAATAATTGCTGTGTTCAAACCTATATTTCATATATGGACGGTGTGCCTTTATATCTATATTTTCTCCGTGCACAGTTTCTTTATGTGGCTAGTATAGATTATGAAATATGGTCATAATGAATTGATTTTTCAGCATATGTTATTTGGTAACTGTACCAAGACATAATCATACCAAACAAATTTGAATTAAAAATAACTTAATGTGACAAATACATGTACGGTTACTGTTGTAACTGAAATTCAGAAATCTTATTAATCCTCGCAAACATTCGGTTTTAACATGTAAAAACTGTCAACATATCCACGCGCGCCTCCAGCTCAGGCTGTCCGTTATACTCTGATTTAAGATCTAAAATATATTCCTTAATACATGCTACGATTTGAAAATGGTATCGGTGTAGGTGAGGTGAGGTGAAATGGGGTTTAACGTCGCGTCCAAGATTATTGCACTTATATAGCGACGTGCATGCACGCGTGTGCGTGTGTGTGGCTGCTTGTACTAGACCGGACTGATGCCGACTTATATGCTAGTTCACCGAGATACCATGCCGCAGTTGAATGAATACCCCACTCATACACAGTATACTGACTCCGAGCCGACCAGTCCTTGCTTTAAACATACAACATCATAACTATCTAATTCAGTCTTTAAGACAGCGTACGTTTAGATGTATACTCTTTAAATCTGGACTATGCAAAGGTCCTGGATTCGGACTATTTTATCGCAGCAAAAGAGAAAAAGTAAAACTAAGAATGATAATCGGAAATTTTATAAGCAAAGTAACCCAAAATATAGAGAAATGTGTATCATCTTCCCAAAATGATTATCATGTAGAATAAATTCTAAAACACCCACCGCCAGCCTGTATTGAACAACATCAACCGGCATCTTCAAAGCAAAGTGCACATGTAATTGTTACAATCGGGCTGGCGGTGAATCTTAATGAAAAACACCTTGTTAAAAAGACACACCGAAACTGATTTGCATAACTGATGACCACAACATATTGAAAAATATCAAAACAGTAAAAATGATACAGTATAACCTCATAATCAATCGCCAGCTGTCAATATACAAAACAGAATAATACATCAAGATGACAGTTTTCATGTAAAGATTAAGTATTTCTAAGCAAATTAAAGATACATATATCTAGATATTGTGCATATCTTTAAGTTGCTTAGAAATACTTAATCTTTACATGGAAACTGCCATCTTGATGTATTATAATGTATTGTATATTGACAGCTTGTGATTAATTGTTACCAGGTGGCTCCAGCTGGGGTAGCAGACGACACACTTTCCAACAATGGGGAAAAGGGTAAACATATGAGTAGGCTGGTTATCATCGAGCAGACGGCTCACCAGTCTAAGAGGTATTGAAAATACACACACTTAATTCTCAACCTTATCTAATGTTAATTCAACAATTTATCATATACTTAGCAGTGGGATATTCTGTTAATAATCTCTCATAATTCTATTGAATGGTTCTGTACACTCTATCAATGTTTATTTGTACAAAGCTGTTTTATGTATGTACAGAAGTGAGACATTAATAAGTTATTGTCTGTCTGTCTACAATGCATACCTTACAATTTAACCGATTACACACGCATGGCAAGTATTTATATAAACGACCGAAAAGGTGTGTGTGTGTGTGTGTGTGTGTGTGGGGGGGGGTTATATTCTGGGGGGGAGATTTTATTTCGTAGGTGGGGGGAGAGTTTATTTCGAGAGGGGCGGAACTGTACCGGTATAAATTCACCGAGGGGACATTTTATTCTGGGGGCGAATATATTTCGTGACAGGCTCCAGGCACACAATGACAAGTGAGGATGCCGCGCTACACTATAATGAAAATTATAATCAAGTTGACTAGCGTGTACATTACTACAGTGAACATGTACATGATCATGCCCTCATAATCAAATGTCGTAATATCAAATACTAATATATTATTATGTGATGAATTTGACTGGATCAGTGGTAACATGTGATATTAATATTCCATCAATTTAAATTTCTTTCCTGGTTGGTCTATCCATGTCTACAAAAATGAAAATAATGCAATTAAAAAGGAGCACAGAACAATTCTTAATTTCAGACTAGAGCTGTGGAAATCTAGACTTTCCAAATCATTATAGACTTGAGTTGGTCTCATTTTTTACATTATGCTCTTGGGTCTACGTCACAGCTCATGCCACACAATAACAAGACCAGTTAGTCCCCCGGCGGAGCGCCTGGATTTTGGTTATATCATCTAACATGGTCAACTCTGCTCTTAAGTAAACAAGAACCTAATTAGTGAGTGGTCCTTTATGATCATACTGGGTCTTTGTCCTTTGCTTGAACAATAATGTAACTTAACTTCTTTTAATGAGTCGTTTATTTGTAGATAATTTCGTACACAGATAATTCATCTAACATGGTAATTATAATCATAACTATTTTTCAATAAT